GTGTATGCCTGTACTAATTTATATTAGTGAATTCAAATAGCTTTCTGGTCCGTATGATACATGGGGACCATTTATAATGACAGTTAAATTATACATTTTCAAAATTGTAATAGAATTACTGTAATGAAATTTGGTTAAAGGTTTGAGTACACTGATTTTGTGTAAATGTATGTTCTGTGTACTTGTGACGTATTTGTCTGCCATTTTGTGAACAGCTGTTGTCCTTTATTTTTGAGCTCAACAAAATTTTTTCATGATACACTTGGGGTGCAAATCTAAAAGCATGCTTTCTCCTAAATTACCAGCTGGACTAAATGACAATATTTAAATAAAGATATTTAACTATAATCCCTGAGCAGAAAAATTGTTGGATAGGACTCCAATTGGTGAGTAAAGGGGTGGCCAACCTTTGTTCATTAATAAGGAGCCCCCAGTGATCTTCAGAGTCTGTTGGGAGATACCCCCAATAATTTGGTAATGGTTAAAAATGTTCCAGAAAAAATAAAAAGGTGTTCTCATGAAAGATGTTCTTAGTACAGAACTAAACTAAGAAGCAAAGAGGGGCTGGGGATTTAGCTCAGCAACACAGCACCTGCCTGCCAAGCACAAGGTTGTGAGTTTGATTCTTGGTACTGGAAAACAAAACAAAACAAAACAAAAAATCGAAGGTTTTTTTATATGTATGATAATTTAGTATTATTAATTTCATAGTGTACTGAAATGTATTCATGATTCTGGATGTATAGTTCTTCAAAAGGTAAAGCAAGGATTGCTTATGATGAGACTTTTGTTCAAATTCAGATCTTGGCCTTTAAAAAACTTGGGTGTATTTCATTAGATGATAACAGATTGGATTAGGGGCTGGGGATTTAGCTCAGCGGCACATTGCCTGCCTGGCAAGCGCAAGGTCGTGAGTTCGATTCCTGATACCAGAAAAAAACCAAAAAATAAAATAAAAATAAAATAAAATAAAATAAAAAACAGATTGGAGAAAAGCTTATGCATTAGATAGAGATGATTGGTTGAGAGGGTTAGGTTATGTCAAAATGAAATTTTAAGTATGTTACAAAATGTCATGACTGTCATGCAGCAGTTATTTATGCATTTGGTTTCCTACTTCAATGTGCAACTATGTAATTATTATCTGTTAACATTCTAGAGGGATTTAAATGATAGGATGTTAATGGTTGTTAAGAAAACAACAGTTTCATTTTATGTTCTAAGGTGTCTGATATTCAG